TGCATTAGACGTCTGTCAATTGCCCCGGCCTATCTATCTGCTCTATTCTAGAAGCTAAATTGGTGAGGGTTTTGCAGTGTATTGGTTTTGAATAGGCGAATTTTTTGCCTGCCTCGAACCTGCCTGACCCGACCGAACTGCGCTTCTGTGCTACTTCCTGGCAGCCAGCTCGCCGCCGCCTTGGCCCATCTGCGAATAGTGTGTGCTGTGTGTCCTGTGTGTACTGTCAAAAAGGAGGCCCTCGCGTCGTCGCAAACCTATATCAACACTGGCTTCCATCATACAATCCTACCACGTCCAGTCATTTGATCCTGAGATGCCTCGTCGACCTAACAATCACTTCGCCAGCAACTCCCCTTCCGCAAACCCGCCGTCCTTTTCGTCCGCGAACGAAAAGGGCGGCGTTTCTATCAATCCGTCAAAACCTGCATCTGGGAAATCTAACCGATTAAGCCAGCTCTTTTCCTCCTCACCCAAGACCAAACCAGAAACTCATACTACTGCCCAGGCTGCCCTACTTGCCGCAAGCAGAGGGTCTCTCAATCCTAACAGTTCGCAGATCAGTTCTCCCTCGTTGTCCCTACCAACAATTTCTCTTTCCACAGCAACCGCAGATTGTATCAACATGGACGAGCCTCCAACAACTCTCTTTCAACCTCCTTCGCCGGGCGAAACTCGTCGCCTAGCTAAACAGCATGCCCAATTCGGCCCCATTGGTCACCCTAGCCACCGGTATACGTCAAAGCACCAGGGTGGTGAATTCCCTGAACCTATTATCGATGAACCACCGTACTACTACCTTTTCACGACCTATATCAGCTACCTAATCCTAATAGCATTCGGGCACGTGCGCGATTTCTTTGGGAAAAGATTCAGGGAAGAAAATTACAAACATCTCAAACCTCGGAATGGCTATGGCGCGTTGAACAGTGATTTTGATAACTTCTACATCCGGCGTCTAAAGATGCGTATCAATGATTGCTTTGAGCGTCCCGTGACTGGGGTGCCAGGACGGTATATTACTCTGATCGATCGAACGAGCGAAGACCAGAATCGCCATTTTCGCCTCACTGGTACTTTCACGGACACTTTGAATATGAGCTCGTACAACTACCTTGGTTTCGCGCAGTCTGAGGGCCCATGTGCTGATGCTGTTGAGGAAACAATCAAAAAATACGGTATCAGCTCCGTTGGCACTAGGGTTGATGCTGGTACTCAGGACCTGCATATCGAAGTGGAAGATCTTGTTGCCAAATTTGTCGAGAAGGAGGCTTCCATGATATTTTCAATGGGATTCGGAACCAATGCAAGCATTTTCTCTGCCCTGGTATCAAAGGGGTGTTTGATCATTTCTGACGAATTGAATCACGCATCCATTCGTTTTGGTGCCCGTCTGTCGGGCGCGTCGATTGAAATGTTCAAGCACAACGATGTCAAGGCTCTAGAAAAGAAATTGCGTGAGGTAATTTCCCAGGGGCAACCACGCACCCATAGACCGTGGAAGAAGATCCTGGTCGTCGTCGAGGGACTCTACTCTATGGAGGGAACGATGTGCAATCTCCCCGGTATTCTTGCTTTGAAGAAGAAATACAAGTTCAACCTTTTTATCGATGAAGCACACTCTATCGGCGCCGTCGGGCCCAGAGGAAGAGGCGTCTGCGATTACTTTGGCGTTGATACGAATGATGTTGATATTCTCATGGGAACCCTCACCAAGTCCTTTGGTGCCAACGGCGGTTATATTGCTGCGGATAAAGTCATCATCGACAAGCTACGTGCTTCGAATGCCGCAGTGTTCTACGGCGAGGCGCCTACCCCACCTATCCTTGCTCAGATTTCAACATCGCTTAGAATCATCAATGGCGAGCTCTCCCCTGGTGAGGGCGAAGAAAGACTACAAAGACTCGCATTCAATTCCCGTTATCTTCGTCTTGGCTTGAAGCGCCTTGGTTTTATCGTATACGGTAATGACGACTCCCCAATTATTCCCCTCCTTCTTTTCAACCCCGCCAAAATGCCAGCGTTCTCCCATGAAATGCTCAAACGGAAAATCTCCGTCGTCGTCGTTGGATACCCCGCGACCCCCCTAGTATCATCACGAGCTCGATTCTGCGTATCGGCGGCCCACACCAAAGAGGACCTCGACCGCTTACTCTTAGCATGCGACGAGGTTGGCAATGTCCTGCAACTCAAATTCTCAAGCGGTGTTGCTGGCGGTGTGCTACCATCCCCAGAAGGAGATACGTACGGTGATGAAAAGAATAACGGCCAGCATTCCGGCAAAAAAAATGCACATATCACCCCTCCCAGATGGAGATACGAGGACGTGATCCGGCGTGGCGTGCAGGATGTGAAACTACCGCTTCGGTAACATCGCACAAAGCTTAGCAGGCTGCCTGATTTTATTTTGTTCCCGGCAGGTCCGTTCGATTCAGGGCCATGATGTGATACTCGCAGTTCATATTTTGTTTCTGGCTTTTGCGGTTCTAGATTTCGGTTTTGCCAGGTGCTGATGTAGGAGTTCGTCAGATAGTCTAATTGTGGCGGGAGTGTTGGGTATTTTGATGGTGTTTTTTGTATATGTTGTCCTTTCTGTTTTTTTGCCCTTCTTACTTCAACTTGCTGTTAATAAGATGCAGTTCATAAAATCAATTCTGGCCTTGGTTCTCACCTAGTTTGGTGCCAAGAAAGATGTGAGATGTTTGTCACCAATACGTTGCTGTTGTCAAACATAATGGATGAAGGTCTTTTTCTTTTCTTTTTCCTTTTTACGGCCGGCGATATTTTGTCCTATGTAACTTTTTTCTCCCCCGCGAGGAGTGGACCGAGGGATACACAAAAGGGGGAGGGGCTGTTCCTTGTGTGACGCGGGTAGTCAAAAGAAGCTATAACCTACGAGGTGCGACATTACGTCTCGCCAATTCAGCATCAGCTATAGGGAACACCGCCCGTGCAGAACCATTTCCGATCCCATCGCAATACCGATACTATCCATTCCCGCATTGCAACGCTTATACGCTCCTATATCACATCCTAAGCCTCCAGTACCGGATCCAAACGACAAAGGCGCTGCATTGCGAACCGGGAATCCGCCAAATGTCATGCCCTGACTAACAGCAACCATCCCACACCAACTGGCTCCTACGATTCATAATCAAAAGTTAATCCGACGGTGGCACAACACTTCAAACTCTCTTACTCTCAACGAATCCACCCACTGCCCCAGCATCATCAAGACTGTTCGTTTCCTCCCCTTCTTTGTACTTCCATAACAAATTTTAACCTCTATTTCGATTCTTCCCTACAGAATAGACTCTCACGACGATATTGCTGTCGTGTGTCAACGTCTGTTTTAGAAACTTCCCCCAAGTTTCCTTTCTCCTTTTTGCCCTTTTTCTTATTCCCCCCTTTGGAGGCATGAGGTACACTCTATCATGTATGGGACTGGACCTGCCAAGTGCTGAACAGGTACACTTTGTTTTGGGTGTGTATATGTACATGTGTGTTTACGGAAAGCGGAGCGTCGGGATAAATTTTGGCGGGTTTTAATGTTGGGTCTTGTTTCCTTTTCTCACGTGTAATAAATCCATCCGCTGCCACGAAAAACACCTGAGCACCTTTCTAATCCTTGCTCGTCTTGTGGATGGGGGAGTAATGGCATGGAAAGGGCTCTTTTGCTTCGCTCGGCTTGAGTAATCTGTTGATTTGGTCGGATGGTCGTATGGACGGTTGGATATATCGTGTTTTCTCCCATGTCTAATACAAAGCAAGGAATGACGAAAACCGGATTGAAGGAGGGAAAATATGAACTTGGAAGCAGAGAGGCGGAAGAGAGGAGATTATTTGGCTGGAGAAGGCATCGGATGGGGTCTTCTCTTTTCTTTGGTCATACATTACCCCATTAATAACTGTGCACCTAATACATTTTTCTCTCTGTTTGGTTCTTGTTTTTCTTTTCCTTCTCCGTTTTCTTTCCCCCTTCCCCCAAATGTTGATATATCGTTTGCTTGGTTTAGAGAATGATGGAAAGAGGCGAACAAGCGACTAATCATGTATATGTATAGTGGATAGGTGACTCCTATAGCTATAAATGCTAGGCTGAATGTATAATAATATTATTTGTTTTTTAGGGAAAAAAATTCAGTTGTAGTTGATATCCCATGTATCAATATTCTCTGTCTGTCTTTGCATTTCTTCAAACTATCGAGATTTGAGCACAGCGACACAATATGTCATCATAAACTGCAGCAGATTTAACCACATTTAATATAGTTATCTTTATCAGATACAAACTCTCTAACACTAGAACCATCATCTTGGGGATATATTTACTATCCGTTTGCATAGCAAATCACACTTCTTGCACTTACGTGCATCCCCCATTCCTACCACAACCCTGACATCTATCATACGCCTATACAAGGGCCCACAAAGCCTCTTTTAAATCCTACCCATTTATATTCTCTACGTCCCTATCTAATCGTAACTACATTTATAAATAGGAGTTCCAACTGAACATATATATATTATAGATTACATCTTCATTCGTTTCTGGCCTATATATCCGTATGTGATGATCTCCTTCGCCGGAACGAGTCCACCAGGCGCAACAACCACAGCATTCCATCACCTTGTGCCGTCACTCGCTTCTACTATTTCCCCTATGTTCCTCCTATATACTTCGGGCTTTCTGGTACAGGCAGAATATAAAAAGCATCACACAACCTCTCACCACCCTTCCATTTCCTCATCCTTCATATACTATATTCCTTGCAAAATCCCACCCGCTCAACAAGCACAACAGCGTTCCCCCTATTTAATTCTCGCTGTTCTTTCCACCCCCAATTTACTACTGCTCAACAAACAGCCATTCTCCTCGTCTGCCTTGCTCCCTCCCTTCCTTGGACTGCCTACAGATAGTCCGTCCACATTCCAACAATCCCCTCCAAAGATTTGGGATCTTGAGCTTCAATTGGCTCGCAGGATATAAAAGAGCAAAAATGGGCACCGGGGGAAATATTTGGAGATCTCCTGTCAACCAGAAATCGAATCTCAAAAATGACAAGAACATAAACAGGAAAAGTGCCTTGAAGATTATACACGATGTGCAAGCAGAGAAATTCGACACCATCCAATGCGACCACACAGATGTAGGCAAATTCAGCCCCTACCAACCAACACTACTTTGACGTTAAAAATCAATGGCAGAAAATTCATTACAGCGACGTTATGTGGCCCAGCCCGTGGCCCCACCCCACTGTCGGGAGAAGTGAAGCCCTAAGTATATAGATGAAGGGGTTGCAGATTGGGATGCTGGGAAGATGGCGATGCCAATATAGTTTGCGTCGGGGAATGTTGTGAATTGGTGAAGTCCTGGGGGAGATAGATTTGATTTGATTTTTCTATGTCTGGATATTTTTGGTGAAGGTGGCACCTAATTAAGAGTATTCTCGTTTCCCGGTGCATCCGCTCCATGATAGACATCAAGTGGCGAGGGAACGAAAACGCGAAAAACACATTGCCTAGTTCCAGGGAGGCTTTTGTGGTCAAAAGCTGCTCGTTTCACTAAGTGGTGTGATATGTGAGCATTTTCTGGTTCTTTTATATCCGTTGTTTAAAACAGAATATACAATTTCATCGTCATCAGAACAAGAGTCAAAAGGCGAAGTAGGAATTTATATTGGTATGTGTATGTAAGGCAACCTCACAATAAAATAATGCACGTATCTAGAATGATAAGAGTATATATGCATCTGTGGGGGAATGAAATCCCGGGAATAGAAAAATTAACCATAATCCAACCATCAGGAAGCAAGAATAAAATATGTATGGATGCAAAAAAGGATACTGGAGGAGTATCAGCAACAACTTGGAATCGAAAACAGGTCCAAAATAGAACAAAAGCATCTTGATAAACCAACAAGGTAGTATATGCATGAACGCCCCGCCCGTGCTAGCCAGAAGCCATCGTCTAGTGTAATATGATAATTATGATGCTGCAGAGAGGTATACCCGAAATAAAAGGAAAAGAAGGCAAGGCTCAAGTAGGGAGTATCAGCAAAAAAAAAAAAAAAAAAAAAAAAAGAAATAACGCCCGGTAGTCAATTCCCAGGTCGCCTCATCATTTCCAAATGGCCCAGCAAAGCGAAAAAAATGCGCAGGGCGGAGAATGCGTTCCGCTTAATAAAGAACAGATGTAATGTATCCCGACGCCACAGAATATCAAACCGCGCCATATCTATCCTGTCCAACTATCAACAGTCCCTCAGTCTCTGCAGACAAGGTTCTCTGTTCAGGAGGCACGGATGGAATCCACCCTCTCATCCACCCACTCACCCTCCGCCATTTGGCTCGACCCCGCTCAGCGGGTTCTAAGACGAAAGCCGCATCCTCCGCCTTCTCTCCGTACACTAGGAATTGGATGCCCATAGCCCCATCGAGTGCAAGAACACCAGCAGCGCCAAGGAAAAACGGAACTGCGCGCCCAATCCATTCGAGCCTATCGTTGCCGTCTTCACCAGCCCATCCGCCCCCTCCGTACGGAGGAAGATCAGACCATGCGTTAGGATTGGTGAGGAGAGAAGTTGAGTAAAAAAAGTTACCGCAGAAAGCTGCGAAGAAGAGGAGCGGTGATAGCCCTGATGTGCTCTGGCGGCGGTAATTTTTGTACAGTTGGGGGAGGCGGGAGACGAGATATAAAAATGTGGATGACCATGATATAATTCTGCCGGCTACTTTTCTTGCGTCCTCTTGCGATTGCATGGATGTGGGCATGTCGTGTCCGTTCTGGCTTGTGGCGATAGCGTTGGCAAAGACTGCAAATAGCATGGAGATAAACAAGATAGTCCGGGGAGAAGCAAATGGGGTGACGATGCTGCTGCTGCCTCCAGTCCGTTGGATAGTCCGGAAGAATGGACGTTGCTTTTCATCTGAACGTGAGAGAGAATTGAGAAGGGGAGAATCGATATCCATCCCTTTTGCAGAAGCAGCGTTTTTGGGTTCTAACGCCGATGCCGGCCTGGGAGATAGATCTCGAATGGAATGGCCATCTGTCGGTATGACGCCATTATACATATACCCATCGCTGAATCCCAGATTGCTAGTTTCCGCATACCCGCATTTCCGTAGTCGCCATTTCTTAAAACAAGCATACCAGTAATACTGAAATACTAGAATGACATCGACAAATACATAGTAGGCAGCGATGGTGATCTGCCAACCAGCCTGACGTAATAAAATGGCCCCCACCAAGTTTGTGGTATCGCCCAGACACCATTCAACAAGGAAGAACACGGAGAGTCCCGAAGCTGACTGCAACTGATAGTTTTTGAAAATCTGAGGCAGTTGCGCAAACAGCCAGGAAATGATGCTCAGTGTGCCTAAGGTAGAAGAGATTAGGGAGAGCCAAGTGGGAATGCATGTATGGATCTGGGAGGAGAGGGCGGCCAAGAGCGGAGAAGAGGGATCGCAGTGGTCTGGAAGTGAGCCAACCAAAGGGTTATGCACCCATGCTGGAGGCATTATACGGCAGAGCAGTTTTTCTGTAATGGATCGCTACAACGAAGCATTACTTGCCCACCGTATACGAGAGCCAAATCCTGCCCAATATCGAAATTAATATCTTAAATGGTATTTGCAGGCACTCGTGGGAGTTGGCGCTGAGTGGTATGGGAGACGTGCTGACAAAGATAAAGTGGAGGAGAGGGGAGAGTCACACGAGGAGGTCGTAGGACAGATCTCCGAGGTGTAAACAGATGAGGCTAAGCCGCCCGGGGGGGGGGGGTCAAAGTATCACTATCCAGTAGCGGTACCGCAACTCAAGAACTCTCTCCCGGCAGACCAAAAACTCCGAACATGAACATGAAAACGTTGATGACTGGTTGGCAAAGGGGGATCAGAAATGTTGGAATGTTACGTTGGGGAAACAAAGAGAACGCGATCTCTTCTGACAAACGTGACAAACGAGGAAGAGAGTCACAGCGAGATGAATGATAAACAAAAACGAAAAAGGAAAAGACAAGATGCTGGCCGGGAATGGAGGCTTAAACAAAGAGAGATCGGGGAGCAGTGGTGTGTTGTTGAAGATAAGAAAAGAGAATGAATGAAAGGATGAGGATGAGGAAAGGTCGTCGATGCAGATCAACGCAGCTGAGTCATCCAGATCAACTCAAACTCTATTCGGATCTGGGGTAAGCTAGTCCCGATGCAGACTAGCACCTAATAGGAGGCTGGAAAGCCCGTTTTTGAGGACCGCAACTCGACCGCTAGACCATCCAGCTGTATATTATGTGATGCAATATATACAAGTGAAGAACAGACGAGCAACGGGTGAGGTTCTGATACTCCTCGGCGTGATACATCGGTCGGTGGTTGAGTGTGGACTGTCTGTATTGCCCAGTGGATTTTTTGGAACCAGAACCAACCAGTGTGGCAATTCCAAGCAAATGTCGGTGACTAATAGCTATCACCTAACTAGTTATCTTAGTTAACTAGTTAACTATTGACCAACCAACCACTAATACTAGATATCTAACCGGGGCAACCTGGCCCAACTAATGGTTGCGGCGTTGATTGATGATGATGATGATGATGATGATGATGATGATGTGCTTATCTATCCAACTCAGTTTTACTCTCTGCCAGACAGTGACAGGTTAGAAGACACGCAATGGAGCAGTCAAGGTGTGTTTCAAGACGAAAACTGGATCCACTGGCACCGAGCCAAGTCCGAGGCATACAGTGATGACGAAATGTATTCTTCCCATGTGATGCGCACATTCGTGAACGCGTGCCAGTTTGGCCTTTTTGTTGGACATTTCCGACGTCTGTGCAGCAAACATCCAATCCCGTCTGTATTTGGGGTGGATCCACATGAGAAGAGTTGCGCCACGAAAAGATAACGATGACGGAAAAGATAAAAGGCATTGACTAAAATGAACGCAGGCGGAAAAAGCGATCTCCAGTTAGCTACGTTATATCTCCCACCAATCGTGAACGCATGAAATCATTACTCATTCTCTCCTTCGAATTTGCAACCCTGACCGACATAAAAGACCCAACAAATGCAGCGACGTAACAGCCTTAAACTAATTACATAACTATATCCATGAACTGAGAGATGAGTTAAAGATGCCGCTGCCCAGAACCCACCCGCAGATCCGAAGTCAATGCGTTTCTGAGAGTTGGACATCTTCAATTCCAGATTAATTTAATGCATATTATTATGTCTGATGATGAGCCCAAAAAGGATACACCAGCCAGCCAACCCAAACCAGAATATTTATGCAGCCCCATCTCTGGTGATTGCTGAGATAGACCCAACTCCTGAGAGATTTTTGATTTTCTGCCCTCCTTTCCCCTTTTCAGAATTGTTGGGAACTCTTCGTCGGATGTTGCCTTCAAGAGACGTTTCGACTTCACGAGGAAGGGCGAGATTCTTGTTATTGCCATGCCAACAGCATAGTGAGCAGTATAACTGCAGTTGCAACGCCAATCGCCATGTTCCAAGATCGACTCGATCTCAACGTAGGTGTGGCATTGTTGGGCGCAATTATGTCAAATGCGTTCCCAAAGCCCCCAAAGGGGTCTTTAGTTGGAGCGCGGGTGCGAGTTGCAGTAGTAGACGACGACGACGACGACGACGACTCTTGTGTAGTTGGTGTTGGAGGAGCAGGAACTGATGTCGTAGTGGAGAGGATGGAAGTCATCATGGTCGTGATAGAAGTAGAGCGGATAGTTGTAACTCTGGTGGCAGCGGAAGTGGTCACACTAGGTGGTCTTGTTGGACGCGATGATACCTCTCCGGTTTCTGTCTCGGTCCGCGAAGGCTGAGATGTCCTCGTTTCTGAAGAGGGAAGAAGCTGAGTATCGGTTGGACCAGGATCTTGGGAAGTCCGTTCTCCCTCTCCTCCACTACCCTCATCATCCCCAATGACAGCATTAGGGCAGAGAGCTTGCACCCCAAGATTCTGGAAGAATAACCCTATGAGGGACTCGGCTAGTGCCCGAGATCCAACGCACGCGATATTAAGCGAACGCGACAGGGCTTCCAGCTCTGCAATACATCCTGACGAGCAGGGTCCTTCGTTCGTAAAGTCGCTGTTTGTGCAATATTTCATATTGGAGGTGTAAACGCTCGTACATGTCGGAGTAAAGTATACGATCGGTTGGATCTCGTTTAAAGATATGGCGACTATCGACGGGGTATTGTAGGCGAATAAGAGATATAGTATCAAACACTGTTTATGCATCGTTGAAGACGGCGAGATTCGGACTAATTTGCCGTCGCGCCGTGGCCTTTTCGATTGGGTTCTGATGTGATCGCAAGCGGTAGCACTGCGGGTGTGAGTTGTTGGGAGAGATCAACTCGACATCCTCGGGAGTCCCAGCCCAGGTGCCCTTCTTCACTCTCCTGTCAAAAGAGCTGTGTATTTCAAGAAAGGCCGCTTCTCAGTCCATCCGGAGAAATTTCGTCCTTGGTAGAAGTACAAGTAATATAAGCTGTAAATTAAGATATCACAAATAAAGATTGTCCGGGGGAAATAATGGAAGTCAACTCTTCGATCTTCAGATTGCCTGCGACAATAAAGCAATGCGATTTTTATTCATGAAACAAATCCATTTTGCACAAGAAGGAAAAAGACAATGCGACAAAGGAGAGACGAGAGACAATCGAACAAGTATATCCCTTTAGCAGACAAGAAGAAAAGGAAAAGAGCGAACGAGGTAAGGAACCGGGCTGCTCAAGGGTATATACAGGGCACTTCTCGATCCTGGATCCATGTTGACAACCTCCCAAGGCTGTTGACAAATTTTATCCGAGTGATTTGGTTTATTCGACCAGTTTATTGGCCTGTCTGGTTCATCACCAGTGTTGTGAGCCAATCGTCGCCACATTCAGGCGGGGACTTCTCAGGATGGGAGTTGTTAGCCTCAAACACTTGTTGTTTCCGAACGCTGGAGAATTCACGACAGCAAGCATATATCGAGGAGGTTGTTTAGCGCCGCCACTTGCAAGGCGATCGAGGAGCGATATAGATATCCGGTTCCGTTGATCCTCGATGAAAGCTTAAAATGTGGCTCTCAGCTTCGCTAATATTCGTATGGCTGGTGCTGTTGCTGAGAAACACCATGAAGAGCTGAGATCGAGGAGGCTTTTAATCCAACCGATGATGTCAGTCGGATGTTTGTCAATAGTCAATTAACTACTTGCCTCCAGCTAGTCATTTAATTCCCTTTGGACAAAAGAGAGAAACCAGAGGCCAAGCGCATGTGCGTACTTTTTTTTTTTTTTTTGAATATGTCAAAGCTGCCCAGTTTTACATGACGCGATGCCAACCTGAAACGCCAGAACTTCACAATCCATGAGACAGACAACGCCTTTACGCGTCTGGAAATGTCTCTCCCTAGGTGAGGGTTGAACCAGGCTTGCCCAGTTGGACCCATTCTTGGAATTGAAACAACCAGTTTTCTTGTTTTGATCAACAACGCAACTCTGTCTGGGAAAACGACACCAAACCATAGAACTACTCCGTAAAGAACTCAACTCGCATCAAGGGCGAATATTTGGTGGCTAGCTAAAGTATGTATGCAGGGTTCTTCAAGGTCATAACGACTATTATCATTTATTAAATGTTATTCATAACAATACCCCACCAGCTACCAGCTGCCCAGCGGCTTCATCTGTTCAAGTCATCACTCCATCACCAAAACCGGCCGAAACCGCACTCTGGCATGCACCAGGTCATCCATCGCCTTGTTCACATCCTCGAGCTTATATTTCTGAACCATGCATTTAATGCCATGGGTGCGCGCAAAGTCTATAGCCTCCTCTGCATCAAGAGCATGCCCTGTCAACCAGCCCGACACTGACAGAGCTCGACGGATCATCAAAGCTGAGTCCACGGTAAACTCGCCGATCGGCGATAAAACGAGCAATTTCCCTCGCGGAGCCAGCCCTTGCATCAACGACTGAACATATTTGGGAATCGGAGCACTCAGAAGCGTTAATGCCGCACCTCCTATCTCTTGCAAGGCTGTCGGAATGTCCTGTTTGCTGCTGTCGATGAAATGGTGCGCTCCGAGCTCCCGTGCGAATTTTTCCTTTCCAGATTTGCTGGAAATGACTGCGACTTTATATCCCATTTTACTGGCGAACTGCACTGCCAGATGCCCTAGGCCACCAAGACCGTGTATCGCGACAAGGTCGCCCGGTGTGATTTCCATTTTCCGGATTCCATTGAATGTTGTCATCCCCGCGCAGAGAAGCGGTGCTATTTGAGCTGGATCCATGCTTTTTGGTACTCGAGCCACGGCTTCCACTCGAAGGATACAGTATTCCGCATCTGGAGATATACAAGAATTATGCTAATGTTTATGCCAGAGACAAAGTGAGCTGGATGGTTATTGACTGGGTGTATAACTCACATCCTCCAGGCCTCGTCACACCATTGATCTCTCCACTCTCGCAGAGTTGGAAGTCGCCCCGGTTACACGCCCTGCAAATGCCTATGGAAATATATTTTCACGAATCAGCAACCAAAAATTTGGCTTTTCCTAATAAATAAGACTCCTATCAAAGATTTAACACACCATCGTGTCCACCATGCCATGATCCGCCAACTCGATCTCCAATCTTGAAATTCTTCACACTAGGTCCAATAGCGTGTACATTTCCAACTATCTCATGACCGGGTACTATAGGGCTGATTAGGTGTTAGATGACTATTGCAGTAAGGGAGCGGTGATGCTAGAGCGCTTTGTTTCGACGAACAATGAGTTTCCAGCGACCCCGTCCTTCACCAGTACGTCTGAGTGACACACCCCACAAGCAAGCACTTTTACCAGAATCTCTCCATGTTTTGGATACTCGAGAGGAATGGATTTAATGGATAGTTCTTCCCTCTTTTCCTCAAAACAGGCAACTTTGTAAGAGAGCGGGAATTCTGGTTCCATTATCCTGTGGTTTTGGTATCAAGCTCCTCCTATTGAGCTTCTGTTGGTTTGTCCTAAAAATGAATAATCTGAATATCGAATGGCAGAAGAGAATATTGTAGTGGCTGAGCAGGGATAGCCAAGGTGGTGAATTGAATATGCGAATCAGGATCGAAGGCGAATGCCCCAGGGAATTTGTATTGGTACGGCAATTCTAAGGGCATTTGCTTTGCTTTTGGTGACATCATTACTTCCCTAGCTGGTTGAAACGTTGAAAACTCACCCGTATGTTTTGGGTTCGCATGGTATCTCATGGCATAAAATAGGTATAGTGACCAAAATTGAAGCCCATATGCAAGATCCAACGAATTGACTTATGACATCATCGCTATGCTTGCACTCAGGGGATGGTTTTCATCGCCAATAAGACGATACTTTTCAAATATTCACCACATGAAGAAGGTTTTGTGATATGAATGCTGAAATACAAATCTCAAATATCATAGCAGAGATATATACCAAATTGTTGCAAGATGCGTGTGCAGGCAATTGAAAGGAACCCTGCTGGCTTGGTGGAATAACCAAGGCCCTGATTGCAGTTAAGAACAGATTCAACACAACATGCTTCGCTTTTGCAACACATCAACATCAAAAATCGAAAAAATGTCAACATAGACACAGCACTTCCATGCTATCCATGCAAATGGTAAAATATCCACTCACGGAATAGATTCTGGAGGATTCGGCGCCCTGGGACTTGTTGGCAATAAGTACGGGGTCCCCTTTCGAGATCTTAAATCCTGCTAGCCTGTCAGCGAAAATCTCGTAAAATTCTCCTTTGCTGAGAACTGCAGGTCTCCTCAATACGTATGGTTTGAACCCGAGAAGAAGGACTGGTTGGGTTACCTGAGAGAAGTATGCGACAGGAGAGGAGAAAATCCGCTGAACTGGAACTTTGCACTATCCACCAACACTGGAGACCTCCTAGACACGTATAACGAATGTATCGAAGGGAAAGGCGAATCTTGGGCCGATTTCCCGGATATCAAGGCGCAGAGTCCTGATAGGCTTGGTGCTTATTTCGCTGTTAGCGTCGCTGCTGCAGGCTGGCGCAGTGCAGCTCTCATCCTGGTGGACAGTTGATTTTGGTTAAGAAAATCAGAGACAAGCATCTCTTTGAACATAAAAGTAATGCTGAATCTTTTATAGGTAAGAAGATAAGAATGGTGTTGAATGCATATTTTGTTTACTGTCTCTTTATTGTCTACATGCTATATGGAAAGGGGGTCAATCAGTCTGCAATAAATACTAACCGCACACTAATGGCATCAGATAGATGACGGGCATTCCGAATACATTGAAAACCCTCCAATCACGTATCGCTTCGAGCTTGGGAGCTTCCCACAGGCGTCCTTCAACGAGCGTAGGGAGATCGATACCGATAAATATGACTTTAGTACGTGGAAATACGATTTTCCTGAAGACAGTTTTAGGGGCACAAGCTGGTTTGGATGAGATATGATGCTTCTCCTTGGAGATATGTGTTGCTTATGTACACTTCGGCACACTGGAGGATATTTCACTGGTTGATATTCTTTCTTCTCATTTCTTCTTTTAATATTTTGTTCCTTTAAATTTTTGATTCGTGAAAGAGCCCAGAGCAGGAACGAAAAGATTAGCTTAACATGAAGGTTGAGCAGTGCCCAGATAAAATATTAATTGGGTTCCATATAACCAACGAAATGAATATTGTAAGGGGAATCCCGGAATTTCAACGCCCGAAACGGCCATCTTGGTAAATGTGGCTGTGGAAGAATTTATGACAAGTACAACGCTTAGAAGATCTAGAGAGAAAGGTGTAGAATATCAATGAAGCGAGAGCGTATCTTTTCAAGTCAACATTGCATGTGCCTGTAGAAGATCATGATAGTAGCATGAAATGAGGAAATGAACTAGTTGTGTAATAAAACAAAAAAAAATATATAATTCTCGAGAGCAGTACTCCTTAGGTAATATATAGTTACCGCACCCAGGACGTAGCCAAAAGAGAAAAAACAAAAGAAATAGAACCTCGCGTCCAGAAAAGTTGACGGAAAGCAGAAAAAGAAGGCCGAGGCGATTTTGTGACCCTCGATCAACTAGAATATAATCGCTGGGAAACAAGAAAGTCAAAGGAAGAGTAGGACCAAGGAGAAGTAAGAGCAAAATGTGGGAATAGCAAAAGAAAAATAAATTCCGTGAAAGAAACTTAGCCATCAAAATATGAACGGAAGAAAAGGGCGAAACCAGCGAACCTTAAAATGAGGAAACCGAAAGAGCTATTTGTAGGAACGAAGGAAGAAATGGACAAAACAAAGAAGGAAACACACAGAAAAAGAGTTCTAGAAAAAAACAATATCACGGGGTATTGATTGGATTGGAGAGATACATATGGCAGTGACAGGACGAATGAAAACTGTCGATCAAAATTTCTTGCTTTATAAGCGGGGTTTAAAAAAAAATCCATAGGAAAAAACCACAGGAAGAAGTAGAGGACCTAGAAAGGAACTCTGAGAGCAATGAGAAAAGTAGGGAGCGTGTGGAGTATGGATAGGGTAATGCTTGCCCAGTTACACAACCTGACAGGAATGATGTTCATGGGTCAGAACAGTGGATGGGGGATGGATGTGGAGATCCGAAAATTAACAGAAAGGACATTAAAAGACGCCCAAGGGAAAAGAAACAGGAAACATCTTCGTTAACACCGATGTGTGAAGATCGCTGATCTCATCGAATGTTCGTACACCAGAGAGCTTCTTTGTTCATTTGGATCATATTTTTCGTTAATCGCCAACTTTCTTTCGTTTGGTTTGTTTTTGGCTGAGGGAAATCTCGATATCGACACCGAAAACGATATAATAGAATAGGAAAGAGAGATAGAGATAAATATCTGTGTTAGATCGCATATAATTTTATCGATCTGTGATAGATGACACTTAATTTCGCACGCAGTGATCCTGTCCCAGATTCCGCACCAGCTGGCTAGCGGGATTGTAGGAAGAGGAATTAGAGGGCGGGTATCATTTTATTTAGAAACAGACGCTTGCATTTTCCGAGACATCCAGCTGGTTAGCAATTCGTCGAGTCGAATAGACATTTCATTTAGAGTTTTACTCTCTTCTTTGAAGAGACTGCCTGTTATCGGATGATCAGGGCCAGCAGGGGTCACATTAGACTTGTCATGAACGATGATGAGGAGGTCTTTGATGTCAGCGTCATCTTCGAGATACGACCGAAGACTAGCCTCACTCCAAGTTGGTGTGTTAGTAGAAGACGTGGGTGCGCTGTTATCTTCCAGTTTGGTATCTGGATGTTCAACAAGTTCAGGGGAAGACAGAGTTGGGGAGATGGGAGGATTAAATGGATCATCGACTGATGAGGTATCCGCAGTTAAGCCTGGAGGGTTATTTCGGTTTCGGAATTCTGGGGACGAGATGTTGACCGGCGATTCTGAAATTTCATCTTCGCCTGCGGCAATAGCTGTGGATCGAATACTCTCTTTGTTAGAAACGGCTGTGCTGTCTACCGACTTTTGAGAACCATCCAAGGAGGAAATCGATGTATTAAGGAAAGTGGTTTTCATTGGGGACACCGAGTCGGGCCTGAGTTGTTCTCCTGGCGTTGTGGATTTTTCACGGGCCGCGTCCGGAGATTTTACGCGAAGCGGTTGTGGTACAGGGTTGTCTTGGGCTTCAGATGGAACAGCTCGGACAAGAGTGGCAGAACCATCCTTGATTGGTGGCGCCTTAGAGTTCGCCACGTTACTAGGCCCATGTGGGGTGGAAGGCTGTCCACTTTCGCTCTTCGCTGGCGACGTCTCAGGGGGTGGTTTGTGTAGTTTGCTGGGATTTCGTTGCGGTGCGTTTTGGGATTTCGACGCCGGGCGTTCCTCCTTCAATGATTCACTTGACATCTTGGGAGGTGTTGACGAGCGTGTAGACTCTTCCGATATCTTTTCTGATTCCTCCACGTCATCGTCGGTGGCCTTACCTTTCTTGTCTTTTCTCTTGAATAGGCCACTAAGCATTCCCTTCTTCTCCTTCCGCTTCTTGTCATCCTTGCTTTTGTCTCCTAAACCGATGGCCTTATCAAAGGCTTCAAGACTTCCACGTCCTTTCATCTACAGTATCAAATTGAGATTAGTTGGCAATTGCATAGAAAAACATAAGTTCTAGAATGGAGCTGTGGACGGTACCTCTTTGGTATCATTCGCCGCAGACACACTATTCGAATCGTCACGTAAGAGATTGGGAGTCAACGATATTTTCATGGTCTCGACACTATCATCCTTGAAGAAGGAATCTGTGTTTCGAACCACACCGTTCCTCGATCTGCCGCTAGTCATGTCTTCTGCTTTCATGGTTTAGCAAGGTGACATGTAATTAGAAGTAGCCAGATCTGACCTTGTCTATCAAATGAATCTCCGCTTGCCCGAGCCTTTGTTGGACTGGGCTCTCGGGCGCGCTCCTGTTCTTGGCCGTTTGCAACGTCCTTATCTGTTTGGGAATTTGTCCGAAGAGATTCGTCGACGACGTCTTCTTTTTGAGACCCTTCATGTCCATCATTGGAATCAGCGTTGTCATCGTCGTCGTCGAAGAACTGGTCGTCGCCCTCCTCCTCCTCCTCTTCTTCAGTAGAATACTCAATATCGGACGGTTCATGGTAAATTGGAGAAGAAGTAAATGTGACCGTTTTTGCATTTCTCCTTCGCATGGCCTTTTTAAGGGGATTTTTCGATTTTTCCGCATTATCTCCTAACATTGTGGCAGAAAGCTGGAAAATATGTTAGCACCCAATAAAGGCCAGTTATCATTCATAAACACACATCAATATTTCTATGTTTATTTAAACGAGCCAACCGTTCCGTTGGGGTTTCGATGTGTTCAGCGGGCAGATAACCTAGTAATATTAGCAATGGCACTGGTAAGCGGCGGCAGAAATGAGCCAACCTATGCTGCCATCCTTCACAACCCTCACAAGCCACCAGTAGCTATTACTATCATCTAAAAGGACCATCGTATCGCCCTTGGTAGCATTTGCCTGCCCTTCGACTGTAGCTATGAAGGTATGTAAAGCGTAGACAAATTCGAAATCAATATCTTCTGTTTTGATGTAAGCGGTTGTTATCACTATAAGATGTAAAGAATCGCAAATAAAAATATGGAAAACATTATTCTAAGGTTTGCAGATAAGTTTAATGAATTGGTCGTGCGCTATTCCCGCCCATTGTTGTAGTTTACTGAGAATTTCGGACACTCCATAGCATTGAACACCCGAACCGCCATCCGGATTGCATGAATACGGAGACAGGTTACGCATATGGGATGGGAGGTAGGATATCGAGCGTAAAATGACACCAGTGATAAACTGAGTGAACAGGGCACTAAGTCGAACGAAAAGGGTGTACTCACCATCATCAATTGACGGAGAACTTGAAATTTTGTCCAGCATATCGTCATCCAACTGGTCATCGCTTTCACCGTCAGTAGTGTCTCCTTCCTCCGCAGACAAGTTGCCGTTGGAATACTGATCCATGCCATCATGATGCGATACGGTGGTATGTCTATTCATTTCGTCCTCGGAGTCATCGTGGAGTCTGCGATCTTCAGAAACTCTGGGACTTTGAGTCAACTCCTCGCGGGCCTCCTTCTCTGCATTCCGCATCGACTGACTCTGGTGTGGCGCTGCTGCTGCTCGATTCCCTTCCGACAGGACCACCTGTCCAGACTGGCGAGAGTGGTCTTGGGCGGAGGGAGAACTACGACCTTGAAGATCGATAGTATCTAGAAAATTGGAGGTCGCATCAGATACATATTAATCCAGAAACAATATGCAGAAACCCCGGTTAAGTTTCTATGCCAATAAATGCTCACCTGCCCGGATTATCTGGGGTCTCGTCATAGTTGCTGGTTACGCGACAACAAATATATGGGCAGTTTTAAGAGGCTAATGAGTGGATTAAAATGGAGTAAACAAACACAGAATTAGCATTTGCCAATAAAACCTCCACAGGGAACGACGTTGAAGGACCACGAAACAGCATGCGTCGAAGCGTAGAGTAAGGTAGAGGAAATGGGCTGCTGGCGTGTGTTAAGAAAACGAAGTCCGCTCCAGAGCGGGGAAAGAGAGAGCGAAAGGATGTAGGTATACACGCCTCGAAGACCTAGAAAAGCAAGGGTAGTAGGGAGCAAAGGAGAAGACGAAGGCCACGATACGATGGCCATGGAAAAACGACTGGGCGGAGGGGTGGATTTAAAAAAGGGCAGACTGACGCCCGGCCAGTAAGTGTTTGTTTTAGGACTCAGGAGGTCGAAACGGGAGACTTGGCTGGGTCTGGCTGGTCCCAAAACAGGCGCGTCAAGTTGGTCGCGGCTGTCTCGCTTACTGCCCCTGGCGTCTCTCTCGCGATAAACCCGCTTGAGTCCAGCCAATAACCGCCGGGGGGATGGCACGGCGCAATTAGCGTGCAACCGGGGAAGATAAATTTGCCGCCCGAGACCCACGTGACTGTATCGCACCCGTTTTTTTATCTTGCCCTAAACGACGCACAACTCTACTACAATTGCAACCACAGTCAGGACAACAACCGCGACTGCAACGATCCAAGAGGAGCCCGTCTTCTACAACCTAACCTTCGTCTCTGTCTGACTGCAGGCTCAAATATCCCGGATCTCATTTCCTCGCCTCTCGTTGGCCCCCAACCCACAAAGATACAGTAACTCTGGGACAGTCGCCGCCCGCGTTCTGGTGCACTCCCGCGAGTTCCTTCTCCCCGATAAATCCAGTGGCTACCCTAAGCTGGTTGTTTTCTATCCATATGATTTTGTCTGATATCTTTTGCGGAGATACTATCGGAGGCTTAGCATTTCCCCAAGGTTATTCTTAGATACTTTCTACTCTCCATAGCCTCGCCATTCGAAGGATCACCACCAGCCGTTGCATTCACCCCCTCAAGGTGAGGGCATGGCTCATGAGGAGGCGCTGAAGTTTGAGAATTTGACGTTAGACCAGAATTACCCAAAGCCGTCTGGGCTTATTGACAATGGACATACATTTTCCCAGGATGGCAATGGCTGGCGGACTGCTCAAGACCTCGCCAGCACCCACTGCCCCAGTCTACGTGGTGTTGAAGGTAGTGATGGTGTCTTGAGTGACCTACACATTCCAACGCCACCCATCCCTGTTCCCGTCCCTGTCCCTGAAGAACAGCATTTCAGACCTGGTCCTACTGATGACCTGGAGTATAACCATAACCCCCGATATATGCAGCCTTCGCCTCTCGAACAGTTCGCCCGAAACGATCAACACTCGATCATCCACAACCCTGAATTTTCCTTTGAAGTTGCAAACAGCTACCCACCGGAAAAGCCCACAATCAATACGAATGTTGTGGATGTTGAATCATCTGCGGATTATATACACCGTCGGAATCATGGTTCCGAAAACTCCGCAAACGCTTTTCCAATTACACCACCCTGCAAGGTTTTTTTCTCCTCAATGGAAGATAGTTGTGTGGGTGCTAGTGTACCTGCTGGAGAGCGCCCTACTTCTCTCACTTCTCTCTCTACCGCCTCAGCCATAACTGACGAAATCCGAACTCCGCCAGAAGCTGCTAGGGACATATTGCTCTCGCCGTTTTCAGTTTCGCCGAGAGTTTACAGACCCGCCTCATTGGACGATGCTGGTGGATGGTCCAACCCCGCACCCCAGCCATTTGGGAGCCGCTCCAAAAGCTATACTCTGGGCAGAGATGGCAGTTTGCGCCGCAACATGCGTCAAGATTCCAATAGGACTGCCAACTTGAGTGGCAAGTCTCCTGCGAGCACGTTTCTGTCTTTATGGAGCCGTGACGAAGCTCCTTCAAATCCTGATGATGAGGGTCAAGTTGTAGGAACAGATTATGTGATAGGCAAACAGATTGGTTTTGGGGGATTTAGCACCGTGAAGGAAGCATTTAAGGTTAATGAGGAGGGTGGGCCAGAGCGATCTGCTGTCAAAATCGTCAAGAAGCACCTCGCTGGTCAAAGCGAAAGGGAAAACGACCAGGTCCAGGCCGAGTTTGACCATGAAGTACGCATTTGGCGATACCTACATCATCCCCACATATTGCCACTTGATGCAGTTTATGAAACCGACTATGCCACGTTTTGTTTTACCAGATTAACTACAAGGGGTACTCTATTCGATCTTGTCCGCAGACATCGCCAAGGGCTTGAAATGAACTTGGCCAGAAACTATGCATACCAACTAGCGTCGGCTATTAGATACTTGCATGAAGATGCGCGTGTTGTCCATAGGGATATCAAGCTTGAAAATTGCCTTCTGGACGCACCAGCTACCACGGAAGACTGGGGCGCATCCCAGCTGATACTCTGTGACTTCGGAATGGCAGAGTGGATGACCACGGACAATGGTGGTAATAGCTCACCTGACCCGTACGACAATGCCGCAGATCGACCGCCGCCCAAAGCCATAGGCCCTTCGGACACTAGCACGAGCGTCGCTGGAAGCCTGGAATATGCATCACCAGAACTTCTATCGTCCGTTGGTGGGCTTCTCAATCCTATCGTGGATATATGGGCGTTTGGAGTTGTTGTCTTTGCTCTGGTTGTTGGCTCCCGGCCCTTTCAGCATGCCTTTAAACCGCGGATCAAAATGAACATCATGAATGGCCGCTGGGACAGGTCTGCTGTTCTGAAGGGCCAGGGTGATCCTCAGGAACGGCGGGATGCGTTAGATCTCATTCAGGGATGTCTGGAGATGGACCCGGTGAGACGGTGGACTATTCGAGAAGTCCTGGAATCTCGGTGGTTACAGCCCTGTTCTAACAGCGCGGATGACCCTTCCGATGAACCACAATGGAGGTTTTAAACTCCTTCATTTCCCTCCTTTTTTCTTTCTTTTTTTTGTAAAAGCAAGGAGGCGTTTACTGTGAATTCAGGGCATGACGATATATGACGGTGTTTTGCAATGATTTGTTTTAACTGACATTTCTTAAATCCGGTCCTGAACGTGTGGGTCGGTCCTTGGTGGAATTTTGCATGCACTTTTTTTTATATCCCTTCATTTGCACTAGTATTGTTATTGATACCCATGACCCTCTTTCTTTATAAATTCCTGTTTCGACGATGTGATTCATATACCTCTATGCGTTTTTTAATAATTTTTTTTTTTGTTTTTGTTTTTTGTTGAGCGAGTTTTGGGGCATAGGAATATTTTTTACTGTTTGCGGTCTTGGGACTTCTACCTTCTGATTCTCTTTTTTCATTTGAGCAGGTTTATGGTCTTTTCAGCGTCGATGATGCTACGAGTGGTTTGAATTAAACCCCTTTTTTTTGTTCCGTTTCAATATATCCTATTTCGAATGCTTGTTGCATTTTATTATAGTGTTTCTTTTTTCTTTTTTCTTTTTTCTTTTTTTTTTTTGCGCCTTTCTGTATGATCTTCCCGTTTCCCATGAGCACCCACCCTCAATGGCCTCTTGTATTTGTAACAGCCACTCTCCGTGGTCGCCCCCACCCTCTCCTGTCCCTAACTTATTTTTCCCTTTGATTTCTGTTCTTCTCATCGTCTTATCTCATTTGCTTTTTCTCTAGTTTTTAAGGCATTGTCGATTCGCGGAACGGTAGCATGGCATTCCGGCACCGTCATTCCTCAGTTTCCATGGGCAGAAGGTACTCTTTCCTCTTTCCTAGCAGGGTATGTATTGAGATGGTTTCCAGTGCCTGTGGCGCTTGATTATAAATTCTCTGGACGGCGGATTGTTTTTATTTAACCTGACCTCACTCACACCACCGGTTGACCTCCTATTTTTCGCTTCTTGAAATTTCAAATAGTTTTCTCGAGGGTTTTTGTTCCATTTCCTTATCTCAGTCGATTCTCCGCTTTGCACGCGTCACAGATTGCTAGATCTTCGGTTTCCTTTCGCAGGGGTTAAATTTTCATTTGTCTGTTTTCCAGTCTTTCTTACCAAACACTGGCGTTTCATGGAGCTTTGAATGGTGTTTTTATCTTGAAATAATCATGATGATGCAGACTGCGTTAGGTAAATGGTTGGGGCAATTTTCTAATGGATGTACCTAAGCAAATTCAATATTAGTTATTGCGAGACTGGATGGTACCAAGGCTGTTTCCTTGTCTGTTCCAATGATGGGGGACAGTGTAGACCCGCCTTATCATATGATATATTTTGATGTGTTGAAAGGCTTTATAATTTCTATGTGGGAGGTTTGTCAAGATAGGTCGACCGTATTAATATTGACCAACTGCCACTCTTAAGGAAGTATATGGATACCGAGATTTACATGAAAATCGGCGGCAGATCCATTATTTCTATCAAAAATAAAAATACAAAATGCATTCATTAACGAAATTGGTTTCTCTAGTGAACAATGAAACATAGGCAGTATAGGGTAGACTAGGAGCAGCATGAGAAATGGGAAAGGGGAGAGGAAGAAGGAAGCCCTCTTATTTCGGGGATTTAGAAACAAAACTATAACAAAAAAAGAGTCACGGTCCCATCTACTCCATCTACCACAGCCTGTTGTTGTCACTCGAAGACACATCTTCCTTACCCTTCCTATGTGTCTTACCAGGCGCCCCGAAAAACAAACTAGGCGTTTCACCCTTCTCGACAAGATAGCTCAAATATCCTCTATGCGCAGGATCACGGTAATATTCAATATCCTTCCGGTTCGTCGGGTCCGGCAGACGATATGTAAACCCATTCCCTTTGATACGGGGCTTATCAATACCCATTCCAATAGTCAGGTTCTCGCCTGCATTGAGCCAGGCAAGCGAGACGAACGGATCCGTCTTGCCGGACATGATCCGCTTGATGGCATGGCGAGTATAGTATCTAGTTGTGATGGATCCGCCAGCAGCTTCGACGGCTTCAATTGCGGTGGCGGAAGCGCGGGATACGACGATTTGAATGGGTTGCTTGAGAGCGTCTTTGCCGCCACGGCCCAGAAGTTTGACGCCATCCTTGACACCGTGGATACAACGAGATTTTGCTAGTTCGCGGACGGTGATGGGCCGGGAGGGGTCGAGCCGCCCTTGGTCGATCCATTCTTGGATTCGATCAACGTTGACTTTGGATATATCGAGGGAGAACCTGGGTGGGATTTCGCGTTAGAATATTGTTCAATAATATCCCATAAATTTGGAGAAAGAATGGGAGATGGAAATGGATAAGGGAGCAGGGCAAATATTCAACCCCCCCCCCCAACGAAGCGGAGGGTTGATAGATTGCTTACATGTTATCGAATCCACGTTCGCCGTGGACTATCTCATCCTTTGTCTGTCCACCATTGAACCCCGCAGGGACCTTTCCGTGCTGCTTCTGACCCTTGTGACCGCGCCCGGAGGTCTTACCCTTTCCTGATGAGGGACCTCGACCACGTCTTATGCGTTTGTTGTATGCCGTAGCATT